GGTCTCAGAAATAACATGTTACGAAAGTACAGGAATTGCCTGACCACAATCTCAAACATAACCCACCTTAACATATTCTCCAGTTAGACGGATGCTGCTCTGGTAAGCACCACTGCCAAAACTTAAAGGTAGGTGGCTGGCATACTCCGAAGATCAGTAAGTAGTTATTCACAGATTATTAGCTGGCTAATTAGATTGATGGGTAAACTAAAACTGGGGAAAGGTGAGTTTAACAGGCAATAAGTAACAATATTTTGCCGTTTCACTATTGCTCTTCAACCCGTGATCCCAGTGTGCCACTATAACTGGGTGCAAAATACTAAGGATCACTTCTAAAGGTCTCTGCTGCCTCACCTCCTTTATGGAGCCAGATCACTTGCCACCTCCCTAGTTAGCTGCCATCTATCAAAACCACTGGGATGAGGAGAGCATGGAGCTGCTTCGTTCCCTTTCCATCACAACATTTTATGAGCTACTGAACCTTCTTCTGCTATAGCACATTTGCAATAAACAAATGATTTCTTGCCCTTGGATAGTCCCTTGCAAGATCCCAATGTGCTACGCTGAACGGTCAGATACATTTTAAGTTACGGGTCCGGATATAAAAGGGCAGCAGAAATTTTAGGAGGGGAAGTAGTGAACAAAACCCTTGTAGTGTACTGCCTAATTTACTGCACTGTCTCTTCCTCCCATCTCAGCTCATACTGAAGCACACGCCTTTCTCGGAGGACTGTCAGACAAATGCTGATCAGGACTTAGCTGGAATTATACGGAGTTTACTGTTATTTTGAGCTGTTTATCACAACCTTACGCCACCTCAGTGAGTGAGGATTCTCAACGAGCAAAGATCTGAACTTCAGACAGATGGATCCAACGTTTGTTCTTGCTGTCAGTGTGAAGCTTGACCTGGCTAGGGAGGTCTTGGTACCTGCTCTTGTTATAATCAGGGTTGACAGGTATTGTCAAATAAACGGAAAACGATCCTTTAAAAACTCTGGGATGAAAATGAGTTGGAAACGTTTGAAATGTATTTATGAAATCCACCCACATACACACACTTGATTTTCAACCCGCTCTTGTCCCAGTGCTGTGAGAAAAAATGAGACAGAAGCTCCAGGGCCAGAAATTGCATTTGCTCTGACTCTACCTCTGGTTATTCACTCCTCTTACTTAACCTTCCTTTGCATCTGTATCTTCTTGCTGAGTTTTGGCACAGCAACTATGCCAGCCGGGAGGCAGTTACAAGCCACTGAGTCAGCCCAGTTGAATGTGTAACAGCTGCTGCTACTCATGCAACCTTTGGGGAGTAATGGGCACCGCACTGCTGACAGTTCTGGGTCCCTGGTACTGAACAACTTTTCGATGATCCATGACTGCTGCAGCCATCAATTCCACCCTGACAGATGCCAGGTGACTCATCTGGCTGCAGCTGGCCGGCCTAAGTTCCCTTTCTCAAAAAGGCAACACTCGGAGCAAGACGTCTCTCCTACCAAGGCTGTCCCAGCATGAAGCCATCACAAATAACTGCTCAGCTTACCCTTTCTCACTAAGGTCTGGCACAGAGTATGGCATGGAGGATCGTGCTAGGTAGCAGTTTAATTACTTGGGAATATCCCTTGTCCAACCAAGATAAGCATTCATTTATGAAGAAGTGTCACACAAAATGAGCTGGAGAGTTCAGTGGATGCAGGAGAAGGGGAAGGGGTCCCTACAGTCTCAGAGCTCAAGGGAGTTCAGAAGAGAAATAACCGAGGACATGGCAGAACTGTGATGAAGGCTATGAAATGATGGGATGAAGCAGCTGAAAAACAAAATTCCCAGCAGACCTCACTCCCGGGCAGTCCCAGGTCTGGAATAAAGAGGCACATGGGCCTTTGTACAGAACTGGGGAAACTGGATGTCAGTTCTGGGAAATGCTTTAAGGATCCAGGAGCAGAGCTGGACAGGCAAAAAGCTTTGTGTGCTATAAGCCAAAAAAGAAGAAATAAATGTGGCCGTTCCCACATGAAGTTTGAGTAAAATCTTCAGGAGCGTCTGTTCTTTCTGTGAGGAGGGGGAGGACTAAAGTGTGTGCGTGCTGGCAGATTGAGCCTGCAGAGGCCAAGCGTAATCCCCTTTTCTCTTTTGTAAGAATGGAAATGCCATGCTTCTCCTCTAGAATTTCAGTTGCCAGCACTGAGCCCGTCTGGTGGATTCTGGCTGGGATACCCAATCCCAGGGTAACTGGATAGCGTGCCGAGCGGCAGCAAATGCTGGGAGCTCTCCCCCAGGCCTACCCCCACCCCCCTTGTCTAAACTGCAAAGAAATCTCCCTCCTGCTGCTGCTAAGGGATGAAACTAGAGAACTGTCTGTTTGCAGCTCAGACAAATCACCATCATTTTAAGTTTCCAACTTTCTTCCATCTCCTAAACTCTCTCCTTCCCTGTGGTTGGTGTTTACCCCTGCAGAGAGCGGCCAGATACCACAGATAACTGGACAGGAAAATGGGAGGGTTGAGGTGCATTGATTTTATCTGTAATGCTGTGGAATAGTTGCATTATGCACAAATAAGTTACACGGAACATCCCAAACTCAGACCTCACAAAACTTTTACCCAATCCACTGTGTAAAAGAGGACACTTCTAAGAGTTCTTATCCATGTTATTTGTAGGAGTATTTCTTGCATCCTTCCACTAGGAACAGCAGAGGGCTTAGAAAGGCAGGAAGGCAGCCACATAAGTAACTATAAAGCAGTCATAAAATAACCTGAGTTAGGCTTTCCACGCACAAAAGAAATAGAAGAATTTATATGCGGATATCTTGGCCCTCGCATGATTAGGAGCATTAGAAAAATGGGACTCTCCCCTTCTTGGGGGTGCAAAGCTCTCTTTTCTTCAGGACTGCAAGATAACGTATCCTCTCTTTCCCATACAAAGGGCTTATTGGCTCAGGACTCTATCTTTCTCTACCCTGAGCCTGGGGGCAGGGTAATTTAGGATAGGGATAAGGATAGGAAGAAGCATTGGTCCGGTCATTTCAATGAGCTTTTGATTCAGTGAGCGGGACTAGTAAGTAGATGATGAAGCTACAGAAATGGAAATTGCATGATGGACTTTTATATGTCTAATGCTTGGGCAGCTTATCACGTGGATCTCACCATGACTTATTCCATGGTGCTAAATTGCACTTGTGATAATCTGAATTAATCATGTGCCCTGGACCATCGAACCTGCAGCTTGCCTTTGAATTCCATACCACATGCTCATCTCCCAAGCCTAGCGTTATTAGAAACCCCTTGTCAGAACGATGTCTCCCTATTTCCCCCACAAATTACACTCTCTGAGGCAATATTCAGCCCCATGCCAGTAACACTTTCACATTTCGTATCTTACGACCATTCAAAGCTAGAAGCAGGATTTTTATACCATTGCAGAGAAGTGGCAAAATTTCCCTCTTTCCATTGACACTCAATGTTTGTTTTCACACTCGAGAGATCACAAGCTATTGGACCTTAAAATCTATATCCCTCTCTGATGCCCCATTTATTGGACTCCTCTCTAAACGGTTGTAGCCTTCTCATTTCAGATGCCTACCTAATTCCTCCCTCTAGTTTCATATTATTTTGCACTTCCTGTCTTAAACAGTGCTGATGGCCACTCTGAAACAACTGCTACAGTGCGCTTTGTATGGTTCTGTATTTCACAAGTGACCGAGAACAAAAGTAAAACGCGTTTGGTACCCCTCCAGGATGGCAGACGCCACACGAATACAAGTCCTTGTTAATTTTTAGTGTACAATATGTGCCTTGTTCCACTTAAAAGCAAATGTGTATTTGGAAGACAGATTATGTCAGGTAAACCAAAGGAAAGATTAAAGGCTCTACCTAATGAGGTGACAGAAAATTAGAATTCTCATTCCAGGACGGTGATAGAGAGTGGAGCTATTGTGGGCTGTATCCTCAGCTGGCGTAAATCCTGACATCCCCATTGACTTCTGTGGAGCTCACCAACTGAGAAAGTAGGTCCGCTCCCACGGCACACATAGCATGAGCTCTGCTCTCTGTTTTCTCCAGACCTGCTGATGATGGAGGACTTAACCTCTCTACTTTGCTGAGGCTTGTTTCTCTATCACGTGCAGCACTGAAAAGCCAGGCACACAACTGGCAACGATCTGATAAAACCTGAGAGGGGCTCTTTGAAAGGCAGCTGGGCTAAAGCCAGACCCAAGAGTCAGGTCATAGGCGATCTATTCTGAGCTCAGGCAGAGATTTTAAAAGCAGGGGTGTGTTATACGGGGAGGCCGTGGCTGCTGCCTTGCAAACTTAATACACACATGCTCAATTCTTTTATATGAACAGATGCATGTGGAATGCATCTTTTCACCTTTAAAGCTTACCTACACCTCTTATTCTGACCTTGCAGAAGGTAGTCATAAGCAGAATTGATTACATGACTAGTAGTTCCTTGAAACCAAATCCCAGATCCACCCGTCCCTGCATTTTGGGGAAGTTCAGATCCATGGAATTTTTACAGGCAGGGGCTTTCCATGTTCCAGCCAGACTTGGGCAAGCTGGCTCAACGACCTCTAGATTAGTGGCTCACAAATCACGGACTGCAAAGAGTAACTGAAGAGCCTGCAAAAAGTAACTAAGAAAATCAAGCCTGGTGTCATTAGGCTAAAACTGACAACTGAAGGGCCCACTTGTAATGGAATTTTTTTTAGAGGGCTAAAAGGATGAACACCAATACTCTACGTCCCAGTGTTTGCAATTACAGTGCGCTGTCTTGAATATGGGAACTAACAGGATACAAATGCTCCGGCAGTATGTTTCAGGACAGAGATACTGCCGATAAACATATCAACTAATTGCTTTAACTAGGCAGCCTCCCGGAGTTCATGACAATAACTCTCTTGTTAATCATAATACATTGTGATAGCCTGAAGCTTGCCCTGCTCTCAGAGGACTTGGACCAGCCAAATGCTCTCAGTCAAAGAAAGAAAATGGAAGTGGGTCACATACCTGTGGAGAGAGGCCATTGCTAACAGGATTCATGTGGTTGGCAGGAGCTGCAGCATTCATGAAACTGTCCGAGTAGCTGGAGAAGGTGTGTCGGGCCCCGTACGCAGAGCCGGTGTCAGCAGCAGCTGCTGCGGCAAGCCCTCCCTGGTGCATGGTGGATGGTGGCAGCGGCTGGGGTCTGTGTACAGTGCTTCCCCCATCTGCGGAGAGATCGTTCATAGGTAAACAGACATGGGATGTTTCAGCTGGGACTGTGCAAAACATGGATTGATGGCCTGGCCATCCTGTTCTCAGCCCTGTGCTAACCCAGTTTCTATGTCTCACCATCTTTGTGCTCCATGTGACCACAAGCATATTGTTGGACAGATCATGTGCAGTACAAAATATGCAAACTTAGGATGAAACATCCACATTTTCTCTTATTTCCTCCAGACAGAAGCTGTTAATTCCTTTGTAAAGGCCGAGGCCAAAGATAATGGAAGGGCTGTTGCTGATTCCAATTAGGTTCAGAACCTGCTCCCAGAGGACAGCCCCCAACACACCTTGCTCTCAAGAAAATCATTTCTAAAGGAAATGCAAGAACTGGTGCAAGCTGGTTCACAATTGAGTCCCAGTATGGAGTTTAATCCATCACTCAGGATAGCCTATATTACAGTTGCTTTGGACTGTGGACTGATGTGCTCTCCATTTCAAAGCTGAGCAGAATATCAACAGTTATGAGACACATCGGTGCGGGAGAAAGGATCGCAGGACAGAGAGTAAACCAGATCTACCTGTTTTCCAGAGGAGGTAATGTGGAGTTTCCACTGACCTGAGACAAAAGTTGGCCTCCTCTGCTAAAGAACCACCCACCTACCTATTACAAGAGTCTAAGAGGAATGTCACAAATGCATTGTGACAGGAAAGGGCTGATGGGATGATGCAGGGCAAGCAGAGGGGAGCAGCGTACGGGAACAGAAGCTCACCTTGGGAAATGGTGGTTGTCGGGTAGGTGGAATCTGGCAGCTGGTACGGGGGGAGAGTCGGCATTCCTGTTGGGGGGAAGCCCCCCGGCAGCAGGTGGTTGAAAGCTGCAAGCTGGTTCGCTCCTGCCTGCTTGCGCCACCTCGCTCTTCGGTTACTGAACCACACCTGAGACGAAGGAGAGGAAAGAGCACGTATGACTCACTCTGAGCTCCTGTCCCATCTCATCCGGGTTGCTGATGCATCAGACGGAAACACATCCTGAAGCCAGAAGAAGAGATGGAGAACACGGGGAAAGAGAGAGAGAGAGAAAGAGAGAGAAAGAGAGAAGAAAGAGAGAGAATATGTCCTAGTGATTAGAGCACTGGCCAAAACATGGATTCAAGTCACCACCTGACTTTGGGAGTATTAGTCTCTATTCCTCGGTTTCCTTTCTCTCAAATGAGAATAATGCTACTCCCCTGTCTCCTAGGGACATGGTGAAAACACATGCATTTAATATTATGAAAGATTCAGACACTCTTAAGAATGTGGAAGGGTAGCTAACAGCAGTAGGATGAGATGAAGAGGAATAATTCAGCTTGTGTATTCCAAGAGAGTCCATACCAAGTAGATGTATTGCTACCACCTGGCCATTCCGCCTTGTTATCTGACAACTATTTGAATTATGATGAAGGATTAAGTACCAACATAGCAACACGGCTGCACTGTTAGGAGGGATAAATAGATAGATTAGCATCATGGTCTCTATGTTAGACAAGCTAAAGAGATAGAACCAGACCGGAGGGAATACAGGGTTTTCTTAGCTTCTCTGTACTGCATTAAATCACTCTTGCCTGTATGCTAAGGCATGTTCTCCTTGCAAGAGGCACTGCAGTATGTACCAGCATTGTACTGCAGCCAATTTAAAACTCTGTGCATTAAAATAAACCTAGTATTAATGCATGTGCAAAGCTCGGCTCATGTTTCCTTCAATACTGGCTTACCTGTGAGACCCAAGGAGAGATTTTTCTAAATGCGTTTGCCTGCTCTGATATGTTTTATCATGGGCAATCTCCCTTCTGGATAGTGGGATGGGCTTCTCAAGCTCTCTTGGGCTTGGTTTACTTTATTTAATCAGAGAGGGCTCTCAGGACCAATTCCTTTTTGGGGCTGAGAAGTATGCGGATAAGCTTTCAAGCCAGATGAGAATGCAGCTGCTGGACTTTGTGAGGCCTAAAGGGCTAGAAAACATGATTAAATTTCACAGCAACAAGAAAAAATGGAGGAAAAATCAAGAGTGTAAAGCATTCAAGGGGAAAAAAAAAAATCCTGCATCAGGCTTCCAAGCTGCTCAACATCAGATCAGAAGCTGGGGTTACAACGGTTGGAGGCACTGCAGTCCAAAGTGTCTCCAGATCTGGTGAATCAAAACAAAACTTTCGTCTCTAAATACAGTGACGAGGGGTCTGATTCTCATCTCACTTCAGACCTGATCCAGATCTCAAAATGGGAGCCTTTCTCTGGCCTTTAAATTGAGTTCTCATCTGCACCTGTAGGTACGCTTAATTCACTTGACATGACAAGGCAACATGTCTGCATCGAGAGTTTCTTATTTAATGGAGTGCTGGATCCCAGTCCACACGCACTGCACTGGTGCTCCGACCATACGCAGAGCTGAAGTGGAGAGGTCAAAGTGATGGTGCAAGATTTTCATTATAGTCGGTATAAATGGATTTTTGCATCTGGGGAACAGAATCATCCCTGATAAGAAAAGGTGAAGTGCCGGTTGCAAAAGGGAGCATATGCTGAGCTTCACGCACAAATTACTGGGAGGCTCTCTGGATTGCAGTCTATTACCGCTTCTTCTATCAGTGCTACTCATCTAGCTAGGGTGCTGTGGAAATAGTTTGATTCAAATCTGCTAATGACAGCTGTGTGTGACCTACTGACAATGCCTTTAGAAGAGCGATAGGCTCAGGTCCTGGGCAGTCCTTTACTTCATGCTGTTATTTACATCCATGCACAGTAAAAACAAAAAGTGCTGTCAAAAGTAATATTTCCTGTTTCTCTACAGCCTTTCAGCTGAGCCTTTCTGGGTATATCCCTATTAGTGTTTGAGTCTAGACGAGGAATGTGCTTTTGAAGTGAATTTCCTGATTCACTTTCAGCCCTTCAGTTCACACTGTGGACTGGTCTTGGGAGTACACAAACTAGATACCTTCTAGGTTAAATTCACCTGAAAGATGCACTCTGGGCATGCACACAGTGCACCCCAGCTGCTAACTCCATTCAGTCTGTGGGACCAGACCAGAGCTGGTCTAAAGTAACCCCCCTGAAACGTATACAGTGTCGATGTCAGGGTCCTGGGCACCAAATGTTTCTCTTTACAGGGCTGCTCCTATTCCACAGCACTCCGTGCTAAAGTAGCATAACCTTTTAGCACCTTCCAAAAGCCTGACAGAAATAGGTCAGCTTACATCCGATCTGCATTGATCAACAACGTCCATGCAGGTCAGAGTCTCTGTGTTCACTGTCGGCACCAAAACTCAAGGAACGCTAGTGAAATCTAGGACAGAGTTAAGGAGAGAGAAATGAATGAACATCAAGGTCTTAAACATTTAGTAACTCTTTTATACAGTCTAGCACAGGGTCCAGTCCATGACATAGTTTGTAGGAGCAGAGAGCAACACAAATGAATAAATAACAGTGACCTTAACCTTTTGTTTGCCCTGCTCACATGAAGTGGATGGTCCTGGCCTTTTCCTCTATTTTACTTACCCATGCATGCAGGTGCAATTCATGCTCATTACGGAAACAGAACTTGGCTACTCCTTTCCTATCATTTGCTTCCCACTTTACAAGTTAATAAGGACATAAAAGATTTCAGAATGTTTCTATTAACCACATAGGAGAGAGACAAATCTCCAGTGAAAAAGACCTAGTCCCCGTCTGGAAGAGCTTCCATTCCAAAAATAGGCCTCAGTGCTGAGGATAGCATATAAAATTAAAATAACTGGAGAGAAAATGTAACCAAGCAGCTCTGAATACAGGAATCAGGAAGGAAAGAGAATTTGGACTCTGAGAAAGTAAAAACCACTCCAGTGAATTCTGGCGCTTTTCTGATGTTGGAAAGGGTGGGAAAGTTCCTTCTTATAACTAAGAGCCAGATGCTGGCAAATCCACTCTGGATTAGAAGTTTAGAAGAAACATGTGGAATGAGATGGTCGAGTATGGGACAGGTTTCTCAAACAACATACCCTTGAGTACTCTGATTCTCCCCATGGTGGTTTGTCAGTCGGATTAGCTAACATATGATGAAAACACAGTTTTGGAGAGATTTGCATTACATTATGTTATACCACATGACGTTACTGCTGTCTATCCACCAATGCACGTACTTGCATTCGATGTTTAAAATCCAAGGCCCTGTGATACAGCAAGTACCAGCAAAGCAGCCAAAGCTGTTTTACAGGGCAAATACTGTGATGGTTTGGACTCTCTATTCCCAATCGTAAAGGCTTGATCTTTGTCCTGTACTAGTGAAAACAGTAGTGATCTGGACACCGCTTTCAGTGCCAGGCTATCTAAAGGGAGTGACCTGTTTATGTTTTTGCTTTTTCAACTTCCCACTCCCTTTCCTGGCCTGTGTTTGCATTTTCACTCATATCATACAAATACGGTTAGACGTCTCTGATCTTCCTCCTGGGCCTTCACAAAACTCTACTTCTTTCCCCCCAGGTTTTTCCTGAGAAGCTTTTTTTGCTACCACGCTCTCCTACAGGAGCCTGCTCCTCCAGTCTTGCTCCTCCACATCTTGTTGGGGGATGTTGATCCTTTTTTGTTTTAAGGGAGAGAAGAAGATACACTGGATCCTTTTACAACTAGGTACAGCTGACCAGAAAGGCCTGTGCGTGGGGCATTCTCTGGTGTCTTGCTTACTTCAGTCTGCAATGCACATGGGCTTGGGAAGGAAGGAAAGTTAATTTTCTGGGCAGTGGACTATCGCCAGAGCAAGAAAGTCGGTTCCTTATTATCTTACAGGTGCCTTGTATGACTTTGGGAAAGCTATTGCTCTTCTGATTTGAAGTCAGCGGCAACATTGCTGCCTTCAGCAAAATTTGATCCTTACACTATCCATGCATCAGATCACCACCTCTGAAGTGAGAAAGCATATTCTCTCACCTTTCTGTTTCAATAATCACCCATCTGAGATGGAGATTCTCTTTAACTATAGATACACACCTTATTCGGCACAGTGAGATCTCTGCCTTGGTTGAAGGGTCATAGTAAAGCAAATAATAAACAATAATAACAGTAAATACACATGCACCAAGTACGATTCACAACTACATGTTTAGCCGCAGTGCTTCGTCACAGAGACTGGCTGGAGGATCCAATCACAAATACACTGAAACCTTCCACAAAGAAATTTATAGGATTTATCTTCCTTTGCAGAGGAACGGACCCAAACAGGTTGATTCTGCCCCTTATTTATAACCCACAGAAAAAAAAGAAGATACATTCCAGCTAATGACGTTAGCAGTTCTTTCCCTTTCCCTGCCTTAAAGGTGGCTCAGGCCTTTATGCTTATAAATCATTTTATTGGTAGTTGAAATATAGAGGCTAGAGCATCTAACTGTAATGCGAGGCGCACTTCAAAGGGAACCTGCCTTCATTTCACAACAGTTAAGGTTTTATCAGCCACTAAAGATTCCCCCTGCCAGAGGATCCTGTTACACCATGTTAAGCCCAGGGTGAAGGCTACAGCTGCTAAAACCACACCATGGTGGGAAGATGATGAGGAAGAGGAAGAAGTTTTGAAGCTGCTGGCCTGGCTGCGGAGACATTGTTCTAGAGGCTGCTGAGATGGGCTTTGGCAGAATTGCATAGCTGGAGTTTTCTACTGGGACAAACTTGGTTGCCACTTGGGAAAAGGGCTGTTCAAAGAACCCAACAGCAAGTAAACTGGCATATTGGAAACCTGCTTTTTCCTAAGAAGATAAAGTTCTTTGTGATTACTGGCCTGGGCATTGCAGAGGGATCCTGCACTGTGTAAATTTGCTGCCTTCCAAGGGTACCTGCTGCAAACACTGGAGGTTTTGTCAATCATCTTCCAAAGAATGCATTGTATAGACAGGAGACCTTACAAGAGCTAATTGCTGTTCTAATAGCTGTAGACCCAGCAT